TTATTGACTGAACTCATTGATTTTGTATTTCTTATGGGTTGTTAACGTATGCCTTCATACACCTACACATGTCTATACGCATGTGTATGTGTGTTTGTGTGTTCCTCTTCTTCTCCCTCTCTCTCTGTGTGGGTGTGTGTGTGGGGGGGGGTGCAATAGCCGGCAATCACGGTGAAGGGCACATGAAAACACAAACACACACACACAGAGAGAGGGAGAAGAACGAAAAAAAAAAAAAAAAAAAAGATTTTGACAGTTGTGGTGAGCTCACATACATGTGGTTTTTGATAGACTGTTGATTTTACACAATAAATCGTATGAAGATGGTGGTGGCGGTGGAGGAGAGGAGGGAATGCGGCGCGTGTCATTCTTTCCTGCTTTTTGGCTTTAAAAGAAAAGAAAAGAAAAGAAAAATAAAAGAAAAACACACACACGAAGAGAAAAAATACAAAAAACGAAAAAAACAAACAAACAAACAAAAAAAAAAGAAAAAAAAAAGAGAAAAAGAAAGGGCTATTTGTTCTTTACCGCTTGAGGTGCCACATATATTTACATATACATGTATGTATATTGTCTATATATATATATATGTGTGTGTGTGTGTGTGTGACTGGCGCACCGTCATTGTCATCGTCATTGGCGTCAATTTTATTGTTTTATTTTATTTTATTTTATTTTATTTGTTTATTTTTTTTTTTAAATTTTCCCTGTTTTTATATTTATATTTTTATTACTTTGGATGATGTTTTTACTTGTTGTTTACTTTCTGTTGGGTGCCTGCGCATGTATCCGCATTGTTACTGCGTCCTCTCTTTTTGTCCTTATTATTATGATTATTATTATTCTTTTTTTTTTTTTTTTTTTGTTGTCTGTTCTTCACTGAGGACGCCATCCGGCTGGTTTCCCTCTCACCGGGACGTGTTGACTTCATTTTTTTTTTATTTATTTATTTTTATTTTTATTTATTAGTTTTGTTGCCCTATTCCAATTCTCTTTTTTTTTTTTTTTTTTTCTTTTTATTGTGGACGTCTCTACAAAAGTGAGGGAAGCGAAAGGACTGTTTACATCTTGAGTGTCGCTACGGGAGAGGGGAAGAGAAATACCGAGAAAGAGAGAGAGAGAGAGAGAGAGGGGGCGTGAGAGGAGCAGCACCCCAAGCATCAGGCAGGGAAGAAGTCAAGTAGTCGTTTTTTTGCTGCCGCTGTGAGACGGTCTTTGGGCGCGACACGACAAAATTGGACGGTGGGCATCGACACCCGAAAATTGTTAAGGCCTCCTGCAGAGCGCGTAGGCTCAGAGGCGTCTGTAATTATTGGAGAAAACATGGCAAATAACACAATCGCTGCATTGTCGTGTGATCGTTACTCTCTCTTTGGTGAGAAATGTGTAGATGTGGGCGTGTGCAGGAGCACTGGGGTTCGTATTTGGCTTTGCTACCAAACATTTGGGAAGCGAGATGCCGCGGGTGGCGTGGTGCTTCTTATCATGGGCCTCGCCTCTCCTTCCCTGTTATGGGATATGAAGTTCTGTGAATGTTTGGCATCACGTGGGTATTATGTCATTCGGTTTGACAACCGTGATATGGGGCGGAGTACATTTCTCACCGATCGAAGGGTGATGCCGGTAACAGCAACTACAAATGCTGCAGAGGATGAGACGGATGTAGGGAATGCTAATGCATTTTCATCTTTCTCTTCTTCACCGTCCTCTTCAGACTCCTGGTTTGGGGCGTTCGGCGACAGTAAACTGCATTTGATGCGGTTGGCCTACTCTGGTGTTGTGTCAGGGGGTCGTAAGCTCCTACGTGAGGTCTACACATTGGAAGACATGGCGAGGGACAGTGTCGGTTTACTTGACGCGTTGAATGTTCGCAAGGCGCATATTGTAGGCATGTGTATGGGTGGTGTGATTGCGCAATTGGTAGCCATTTACCACTCCAAACGTGTTGAGTCTCTTTCATTTTTATCAACGTACAGTGGATCCTTACAAGCGGGGCGGCCCTCTTTGCGTGAAGCATTTGCATTGGCCCAGGTTGTCACATATATTGCACGTAAAGGCTTTGCGGTGCCTGCTTCACTTCGAGGGAAAAATGGCAAAAGCGGTCCTTCGCCAAAAGAGGAAGAGGCGTTGGCACACACATTAGTGAATCTTATTGCACGTTTTGCGCCGGAAGCGGAACCTTCCTTTTCCATAGATCGAAAGGCTTGTTTTAAACAGGTGCAACGCATACTTCGGCGGAGTTCTGATTTCAGTGGTGTCTTGCGGCAGTATGTGGCACTGCTGAACGCAAAAGACCGCACAGCAGGGTTAAAACGCATTCATGTGCCCACAGTTATTTTGCATGGCACGAAAGACCCCATTGTGCCTTATGTGAACGGGAAACAGCTTGCCGGCATGATTCCACAGGCTAAGCTTGTGACTCTTGAAGGAATAGGCCACGTTTTACACCCCGCACTGCGTGAAAAGATTATTGATACGCTTGCAGCAAATATGCAACAGTCAAGGCGTGGAAAACAGGGTTTGCCCACAACATCGAGGCTCTGATTTGTGTTGAGACGCAGTGGATCCGCTTCTTTTTCCTTTTTTTCTTGTGTGCTTTTTTTATCTTTGTGGCTTGTCAATTTGTGTTTGAGTGGCAGAGATAAGTGTGTGTGTGTGGGCGGAAAGAATGTACGACCGGGCGGGGTCTGGGTGGATGGTAGTGTTTTTTTTTTTTTTTTTTATGGTTGAAGGCTTAACTCTTTTTTTTTTTTTTACGAGGATTTGTTGGAGGGCGGCGGGTGGCAGTTTTTTTTTTTTTTTTCTCTTCTCCCTGTCGTCCCCCTTCCCCCCCTCCCTGCAGCCCTTCACGCGGCGGGGACTCCGGCGGTTGCGGGCCCTCAACGTCATGGACGCCACTCCGCGGGCTCACGACGATCCCCGGGCATCCCACGAGGTCCCTCCGGACGTGTTGGCTGCTGCATGGGCGCAGGTGTGTGTGTGTGTGGAGCCCTCCCCCCCCTACAGCGAGGGGGGACGTTCGGTGCATTCAACCCGCCCTGCCCCCTTCCTCCATCCCTCCCTGCGGGGAGACGGCCTCATCCAGGCGCATATTTCCTCGAGGAAATGCGGCAACTGAGAGGCGATGCAGCAATGAAACATGGCGGTGGTTGAAGGGTGGAGGTATTGATGTTTTATTGATGTTATTTTCTTAGGTATTCCATTTCCTGCTTCTTCACCGCGTCACGGTGGTGTGATGTTGTTAATGGTAAATGAGTTTGGTTATGTTTTTTTTTTGTTTTTTTGTCTTTTTACATTTTACATCAATTCCCCGGTCTAATGCGGTTTGTGTATTCCTTAGAGGTGAGGGATAAAAGACAACTGTAAGAATTGTTGTAAGGCCTTTTGTGACGCATGGCCCCTACTCCAGATACGATTGTGAAGGTTGGCAAGTGCGCCCGTACGGGGGTGGAGATATCCATATGTTACAACTCATTTGGGGATCCTAAAAATCCATGTGTTCTTTTGGTCATGGGCATGATGAGCGTCGGTATGCTCTGGCGTGATGAACTCTGTGAACGGATTGCAGCGTGCGGCTACTACGTGATTCGGTACGACAACCGTGACGTGGGACTTTCAACTCACTTCTCGGATTTCCCCGGGCCCCACGTGGTTCGGATGATCCTGCCACGAATTCTATCGTTTGGTGAGAAACTACCATACACGCTGGAGGACATGGCTGCGGATGGAATGAATTTGCTGACAACACTCGGCATCAATAAGGCTCATGTGGTGGGGTCTAGTATGGGCGGGATGATTGTGCAACTTATGGCTATCCACTACCCGACCCGTGTGCGAAGTCTTTCGATCATATACTCACACACCGGCAACCCTAATCGAGTGCGGGAAGGCTGGCAGGTCAAGCTGGGGTTTCTGGAGAAGCCGGCTAGCTCTGCGCTTGAGGATTTGGTTGAGTTCAAGTGCCGCCTGGCGCTTCGCATGGCGGGTGACGGCTACCCGATCGATAGGGATAAGCAACGGGAATTTATGAAAAAAATTATTGAGCGCGCTCCCGATGATTCTACGAGTTTGCGTCGCCACCTGTCTGCGGTTCAACGGGCGGAGAGTCGTGTGGAGGGCTTAAGGGGTCTGAAAACACCAACACTTGTGATACACGGCATGCTCGACCGGCTTGTTCCATACGAAAATGGTATTGAGATCGCCAAACTGATTGGGCGCTCAGCCAAGCTGGTCTTGTTCCCACTTATGGGACACTCCATACCAGAGGAGCTCTTCCCCGCCGTTGCGCAGGAGATTGTGTGGAATGCACAGAGAGCCGATGCCAGTGAATAATGTGGGAAAAAACAGAAAAACAAAAACAAAAACAAAAACAAAAGACCTCAGCGGATCTTAGACGAATGTGTGGGGAAACAAATAAATAAATACATCCATAAATCTATTATATTGATATCGGTATATATATATAGGGAGAGAGTGGGAGAGAGTGGGAGAGATTTTTTTTTATTTCCTCATTATTTATTTATTTATTATTATTATATTTTTTTTTTTTGGTTGAATGGCTGCTGCTGCTGAATGGAACAAGAATGGACAAGAGGCATCATTGTCAATTGTGTGTGTGATACGTGTCGTGTCTGTTTACGTTTTATTTATTGTCTCTGTATGCCGTGTACATGTCTCCTTTACCCTACTTTTATACATAATTACCCATCATGTGCTCACAGTGCTACTAAAGGGAGGGGAGGGGTGGAAAGATTGAGTGGAAGGTGGCACAGGGGACAGGAAAGCACTGCGACACCGCAAATTAAGTAGCGGCACAACACGAAGTAAAAAGTGAAGAGTAAAAAAGAAAAAAAAAGAACAACAACAACAACAACAACAAAAACAAGAAGAAGAAGTACAAAGAAACAGAAGTTTGTGAGGGAGATACATACATATACAACCATATACGAAAATACAGCGTGAGAGGGTGAAGGAGAGTCAAATAAAAGTTATTAGTTATCATGCGTTCTGAAGAGATGGTGACATTTGTGCGGTATTGCACCGCAAGTGATATGCGCATCGAGCTCTGCTATCAATGTTTTGGTGATCCACTTAAACAGATGCCGGTTGTGCTTCTCATTGGTGGGCTTAACATGCAAATATATGCCTGGGATGAGGCGTTCTGTGAAAAACTAGTCAAGTGTGGTTTTTTTGTAGTGCGCTTTGATAACCGTGACATTGGACTTTCCACAAAAGTAGAGAAACGCGGTAGTGTCATACCAGCTCGTCTGTTGCTGCCAAAAGCTCTTGCCTTTGGGGAACGTCTTCCCTACACGATTAAGGACATGGCACGTGATGCTCTGGGGCTATTGGATGCGCTTGGCATTCCATCTGCCCACGTTATGGGCATCAGTATGGGTGGCATGATTGCACAGACGATGGCGCTTCTTTCTCCGCACCGTGTCCTTAGCCTCACAAGCATCATGTCAACAACAAATGCCCCTGACCTTCCAGATCCTCAGCTGTGGGTTAAAATGTGGCTTCTACGGAAACCACCTGTGAATTGCACGCTTGATGAACTTATAAACTTCCGTCTTGAATCAATAAAAAAGCTACTGAGGGGCACTTTGCCGGTTGACGAGGAACACTTAAAGCGGGGGTATTTAAAATCACTGCAGAGAAGTTCCTACTCGGCGGGCCTCATTCGACAGGCTGCGGCGATTCGTAGATGCCCCGGACGTGACGAGGACCTTCGTTCTCTCTCGTGTCCGACTCTAGTGATCCACGGCCAGCAGGATGTGCTGATGCCACCTGCCCACGGCCATCGCACGGCGTCTGTGATACCGCGTGCCAAGTTGGTAATTCTGGAAAGCATGGGGCATTACTTTCATCCCGCCTTTTTTACCCCAATTATTTCCCATTTTGTGGAGGTTGCAAATGCATGTGAAGAAAATGGTAAGTACGGGAGACCTATTGGGCTTAATATTCCGTATTGTATATCCTCCTTTCCTGGCGTATCTGTGGAGGAGAAGTTTTCCTCTTGCACGGAGGAGCGGCATTCGGGTCGTGCTGAAGCGTCACTTTCTGTGCATCCACCAGACAAGGTCACAAAAACGGAAATGCCGTTGAATGGACAGACAGCGATATGTGCTTGCAGTAATACTACCGGAGAGAGTGCAGATGTCAGCTTTGTGGCGTGCAGGTGCGCTTCGGAAATTTCTGTTGAAGATGTTCGACAAAACATATTGGAGGAGCAATTAGCAGAAGTTTCACTGGTGAATACCCCAGAGACTAGTATAAGCCAAGAGTGAGCCACGCAACAGGTACATAAGTATACATATTTATATACATGTAAGTGTCGGTATCTATCAATCTATTTACCTGTATATCTATATTCATCTATATATGTAGATGGATGTTTATATCATCTGGGTGAGAAACTTATTATTATTGTTATTATTATTATTATTATATAAAAAAAAAAAAAAAGAAGAATATGGAAGCATTATGGGAATGGATATTTGCCAGCATTTCTTTTTCTCTTTCTCTTTCTCTCTCTTTTTTTTTTTTGGAAGCATTACTCATTCTGAAGGCTTTTTTATATAAATTTGGTTGCTAACTCTGGATGTTGCTTTTTTCTATTTCATTTTTTTATTTTATTTTTATTTTTTTATTTTTCCTTTTTTTTTTTATTATTATTGATGCATTTCTCTGTTTGTTTGAGTGGAGGGCAATGAACGGAGGGAAAAAAAAGGAAAACAGAAAATTTTTTGTGTGTCTCTTTTTCTCTCAGTGCGTTGTGTGTGTGTGTGTGTGTGTGTGTGTGTGTTGTGTCGGCATACGCTCCATTGCCATTCAGAGAGGTCAATTTTTTTTTTTTTTTTTTTTTTTTTCAGTTTTGTTTACTTCTTTGTTGGTATTTGTGCGACGACGCGGCTACCGAGACGTGTGGCGAGAGTACATTGGGAAGTGTCAGCGCCATACCGAGAGGGAGAGGGAGAGGGAGAGAACGTGAATTTATGTACTCGTCGGTGTGATGCGTGTGTCTTTTGGGTTGGGCGATGCGCACTGGCCACGCCTCCTAATGTGCCAGCGGAAAGGGAGAACTATTTTGTGTGTTTGTGTACCCCCGCGTTAATGAGGGTTGTGGCGTTCGCGTTGACGCCATTTGTCGGCTGCGAAAGTTGTTTTTACAGTTCCGCATGGAAGCGACAACAACAACAAAATTCTTTCTTTCCATAAAGAAGAAAAAAAGAGGGATGAAAAAAGCGAGTTGGCGGGGAGCCAAAGTGGAGGAGGAGGGATGACCCGAGTGCATCGATTGAAGGAGAAAAGTGTGATTGAAATGATGTGCGTGTGGTGGTGGTGGTTGTGTGTGGGGGAGACGTACACGCTTTTTGTGGATTGAGGGCCCCGCGGCCACAGCAGCGAGAAACGACGATGAGATGCCGTTTATTCTGACTTCTTTTTTCCTTTTTTTTTTTTGTCGTTTGTTTGTTTTTTTTTTGTAGTTTTTTTTTTTTTTTTTTTTCATGCGCCCTTCGGGACTCTTGCGGCAGCCGATTTATTCGCCGACGCGGGCTGCGGCGACGCGGGAGGGGCGACAGCAGGAGCAGCGGTCATCACCGCAACGACGACAGCGGGTGCAAATAGCGGCGAGCTCTTCAGACTCCCTGCGAGGCGGCCAGAGGAGCGGGAGGGATTTGACGGAAGCACAAACGGGGCCGCAGGATTTGCCGTTGGCAAATATTTTGAGACGCGAATTTACTTACATGTCACTGCGGGAGCAGTTTCACAATCGCGAGCGAATCACTGTGACCACCCGACCTCTTGTCCTTGCCTCCCCAGTACTTGATCGAAAGGAATGGCTGTATAATTTATTTGCGCCATGCTTTTTTCTGCGAGGGAATTACATGTATGCGACTTTAGTTGAGACAGCAGAGATGGCTTTGTCGAATAGGAGAGAGCGCATTGCGACAATTTTACCGAGGTCGTATTGCATTTCCGCAGGGGGTCATTTTATTTGGCGTTTTTTCTGCTTACGTTGCAGTATTGCAGAACTCACATACCTTCTTTTTCGTGAGGAAGAAGAACGTGGACGTGAGCCTTACCGTTTTTGCTGCGAGGGTTTTTTTGGATACGAGGGACGTATGCCACGGTCTTTCTTGACTATGTGCTTAGTTGACCTGTTAACATGTGGTCTTCCCTTTGGATACTTTTATCATGGATTAGGAACAACACTCTTTGGCTGTCGATTGCGTTATCTGATACGTTGCCGGTACCGTATCGAAGGGACTGTCGCGAAGGATTTTCTTCTTATGCTCTGCTGTCCATTGCTAACGGTGGAACAAGAGGCGTTGGAGATGATGATGTACGGCAACTGGGAGCGCCGTGACTTTCGTGCTGTCATGGTGTGAGACACAACCTCTTCTTCTTTCTTTTTTTTTTTCTTTTTTTTTTTTTTTTGGATGTCTTTTTTTGTTTGGTGCAGGGGATGTGGACGCGTTGTACGTCTGTGCCTGCGGAGGAGGAGGGGGAGAAGCACCGCAGCGGGGGGGCTGCCGTGGATGGCGAGAGGTGAAGAGGGGGAGTCGGGGTGGGGTGGGGGGAGAAAAGAGACGGAATTTGTGGTGTCCATCTTCATGAGGCCCCAAGCACGCATGGGGGCGAGGCAACAACAACAACAACAAAAAAAAACGTAAAAATAAATTGGCAATTTAAGGAAAAGGAGGAATTGAAATGAGGCTGATAAATTAAGACGGAGTGGAAGTTGGCATGGAGAAACAAGTACGTATGTAAATGTAAATGTAAATGTATGTATTTATATGTTTATATTCATTTATTTCAGTGTGTGTGTGTGTTTGCGTGTGTGTCGCTCCTTTTCTTGTCTTTTTTTTTTTTTTTTTTCCTTTTTCCATTTCTTCTACTGTGAGTGCTTTTTTTTTTTTTTTCTGCGGCGATGCAGTGCAAATTTTTTTACTTTTTTCTTCTTGTTTTTCTTCTTCGTTTTTCTTACGGAGGTGCATATATATATGTATGTGTCTGTCTGTGTATGTGCATATGCGTGCTTCACCCTGTTGCGTCATTGTGACATTTCCCTCCTCTTAGTTATTTATTATTATTATTATTTTTTTTTTTCCCGCTGCCGTCCTCCTTTTTTCATTGGATCGTCACGTGGTTTTGTCTCATGCACACATCCCGCTTGCTGTGTCAACCTCCACCCTTTCTTTTTTTTTTGTTGTTGTTTGTTGGTTTTAATTGGCTTTTCTCCTTTGGCCTGGGAACACACAAACATATATACGCATGAATGTACAGAGAGGGTAAAGGAGGGACACGGACGGGCTTGAGTGACGGGCACAGCCGCTGGGAAGGGGATCGACTCAAACAAGCGGAAGGGGCGACATGTATGAGGCGGCAGAGCAGCAACTCGCCCTCGTTTCCCGCAAGACACATCGGCTTGGCGAGGTCCTGCGGCAGCAGATTGATGCACTGAAGGAGTTGCGCACAGCACGCATGGCGGCGTTTGCCGAACGTGACGAGCTGCGCCAACGGCTGCGTGTCGTGGAGGAGAGGGCCAACGCCGTTGATTGCAAGCACAACGAGGCGGAGTGTTGCCTGCGGCGTACGGCGGAGGAGTTTGCTGCGACGCAGCTGCTGCAGAAGCAATATGAGAACACACTGGCCGAGCTGAAGGGGCGCCAACGTGTTGTAGTTCGGGTGGCTGGTGCCGCGCCCCGTAGCGGGGGTCCCGCGTGGGAGGAGGCATCCCGGGACGAGTACCCGAAGAAACCACCGCAGCGAACGCAGGAGAAACAACAGCAACAACGCGAGGGAGAAGAAGAAGAAAGGAATTACCGGGCGAGAATTGCCGTGACAGATGAGTGCACCGTGGTGGATTTAGACCGACGGCGCACGTTTGTCGTGGATTTGGCGTACGCCATGACGTCTCTTCGGCGACGCATGCCATCGGAATCTGCACTAGCAGCGGCTTCTGGCATTTCTTCCGCCCCGGCTGCATCTGAGGCAATCCCTGCGGAGAACACAACCACGCAAAATTTTATGATTGATGAGGATCTTTTTGCCACCCTTCGCCTGGAGCATGTCATTGCGGATGTTCTGTCGGGTGTAAACATGGTGTTTCTTTCCTTTGGGCCGGCGGGTGCTGGAAAGACAGAGACTCTCTTTGGCACAAAGGCAGCCATCATCCAGCACGAGATGTTACAAAAAAGAGGGCGACAACAACAACAACAACAACAACAACAATCTTCTCGTCATTCACGTTGTTCTGGTAGTAATGGACGGGGGATGTCTGTGGAGGTGTTGTCCAAATCGCCCCAAGTTTGTGGGGCCACGGCGGGCCTTCTGTCGCTGTTTGTCCACGGCCTCTTCGACAGCCTTGTCTCGCACGCCGTCACACATGTTAGCATCTCTTGTAGTTTTGTGGAACTTGCCATGAACCAAACCGTTGA